TTGGGTTGAACTGTTCTGGAACAGTGTTGTAAATACAACTTAACCACTGATTTCTCGTTGTGTCCTCTTTTGGAAGGCCAAACAAAGTAGTTTGGCTTTCGCAACGAAACACACAGCATCTCCACGACGGCGGCGGCAACAATACTACAGTGAGAATAAAAGTTACGCCGTAGACATTTGGGCAGTGTTATGCAAATTGTCCCACACAGTGATGTAGATATGTGGGGGCGTGTTTTAACGAGGCGTTTTAGGAAGGCGTGGCTAAGCGTTCACTTTTATGAAGAATATCTCTTTGGGTTTGAGACTTTAATCTTTGCGACTTTACGGATCTTCTGTATGCACGAACAGCTTCTATCACTCCAGAGACAAAGGAAAACATGAAATCGCATCATATGACCCCTTTAAGTGGTTAAAGTAACGGCAATTGATTAAAAAAGTTAATCTAAATTAAGCTCATACCTCCAGTTTAGGGAAACTGACTCCAACAAGAAAGTTGGCTGTCCAGTTGGAGCATCCTGCAACGGCCATGGCAGCAGGACGTGGCCCCTGGGAGAACAGTTCAGCCACTATGAACCAGGGAATGGGTCCAGGGCCCATCTCAAACATGGCCACAAAGGCAAAAACTGCAGCAATGCTGAGGTAGCGAACAGCCTCAATGTCCTTCTGCTCAGGGACAAATGTAAGAAAATACAGTTATTACACTAGCATTCCCATGATGGTCAGATATTTACAGTGACTGTTTTGAATCTTCAGCAAAATGAAAACAAACAGCAGGACCCACCAATAAGAGAGCAATGGTCATGACCAAGGCGCTGATGGCCATTCCACCCAAACCAATAAGGTGCAAAGTTCTTCGTCCTGCCCTCTCCACCAAAAAGAGCTTATAGAAAAGGATAAAATGGAAGTATTATGTCAAACTCATCCCATATTTCTCATATAGTTCAATGATTAAATACTTACAGATACTACAGTAAAGACAGTGTTGACTGCTCCAGCTCCAATGGTGGCATAAATGGGCTGAGTCACTCCAGCTGACTTAAAAATACCAGTTGAGTAATAAAAAACCTTTGAGAAAGGAAAGTCACACAAAGGAAAGTCAAATTGGTTAACTAAAGAATGTAAAATGATAGTAAAACAAGAACACTATTGTATATTAAACATTTGACAGTCCAAACAAACAGTGCGTTATAAATTTAGATGTTCAGCACATTACAGTTTGGGACACTGCAGAGTGCTTTGGTCGCACAGCCAGTGCAGTAAGACATTCAAATATTTAATGCATACATATAGTATGCATATTATAAACAATACACATACTGTGACGAGCGTCCCGAAGCTTCATCAGCGTCGCCCTGGAAACAAGCGAGGAGCACCTGGCCATCATCATCACAGGCTGATCGGTCACAGCTGCACCTCATCAGGCGGCGGCTACATAAACCTACCGGACCCTTCCTTTTGGCCTCCACGGGGCACCCGCCACGTTCGAGCGGATGATGGACATCCTGTTGCGGCCTACGCCCCATCAGGCCTACACCGCGGCCTATCTGGACGACGTCGTGATCCACTCCGAGGCATGGGAAGACCACCTGGACCGGTTACGGAGGGTGCTCACCCATCACCCCAATAAATCCACCCTCCGGGGTATTGATTGAGATTACTTGTCGTGTGATTCTTCACCCCGTTACAATACTGTTTTACATATATTTCAAAATACTAGGGTAGTATGCAATTACGAGCATAGTGCATGATGGGTAATGTATGTCACTCACAGCGTTGATGCCAGAGAGCTGCTGAGACAGCTGCAGCATGACAGCGATGAGCAGAGGCTGGCGGTAAGCAGCGGTGCGGAAGAGCTCTGGGATGGTCACCTTCTTCTCCATGGCCATCTTCGCACTCTCCTCCTTCATCTCCTGCATGTCCTTCCCCACATCCTCGTAACCACGGAGACGCACCAGCGCTGAGGGACAAAATAATGGAGGTTTGGTGACTTGCCGTAGAAATCTAATAAAAAGACAACTAAATTTTGGCGTGGGTAAAATTTTTGAATGTTTATTAAAGAAGTCTCGTGCTCACCAAGGCTGCATTTCTTTAACCAAAAACACAGTACAGCAGTAAATATATATATATATATATATATACTGTATATAATTTAAAATAACAGTTTTCTATTTGAATATATTTTAAAATGTAATTTATTCCGGTGATGGAAAAGCTGCATTTTCCGGTCTTCAGTGTCACTTGATCCTTCAGAAATCATTCTAATATGCTAATCTGGTGCTCAAGAAACAGTTCTTATTATTATCAATGTTGAAAACATAAGTTGTGCTGCTTAATAGTTTTAGGAAAACCATGATACATTTTTTCAGAATTCTTTGATGAAAAACAGCATGCATTTGAAAGAGAAATCTTAACATTAATCTTAACATTATTGTCATTAATTACAATAATATTAATGTCTTTACTGTTTAAAATGTATTATTGTGCTGCTTAATAGTTTTAGGAAAACCATGATAAATTATTTCAGAATTCTTTGATGAAAAACAGCATGCATTTGAAAGAGAAATCTTAACATTAATCTTAACATTATTGTCATTAATTACAATAATATTAATGTCTTTACTGTTTAAAATGTATTATTTATTTTAACTTGATTGTACGTGTATATTATTCTAGGATAAAAGGCAACTATTGAATCTTCAACATGAAAGATGCCAAAACCTGCTGTTGGTCTTTTGTCAAGACTAGGGACTCTTAAAGACTCAAGCTTTTGCTTCCTCTATGAGGAACAGCAAACCACAATATCAAAGTAGGGATGGTTTTTCCACCTAAATTTCCAGTTTCAGAAAACACTTATTACCAGGCCAGTTTAGCAAGTCTGACAAGGGGTCAGGTTCAGAGATGACAAAACTACTGCTAAAACATGGTAATGTCTGTTCTTCTGATTTACATGAATTCTGAATTCAGAACACTGAATGAGTTATTCTCTAATAGTCTGCTTCTTAGATGTTATTGGTAAACACATTACTTTTGAAGATGAATATCTCAGAAAATGGAATGAGGTAATAATGTTTATACCAAATAAAAACATTTTGCAACATTTAAAAAAAATGCACAGTTTTTATATTAAAGGGGTCATATGATGCGATTTCAATTTTTCCTTTCTCTTTGAAGTGTTACAAGCTCTTGGAGCATAAAGAAGATCTGTAAAGTTGCAAAGACTAAAGTCTCAAATCCAAAGAGATATTCTTTATAAAAGTTAAGTCAACCACGCCTACCTAAAACGGCTCGTTCTAACACGCCCTCACATGTCTAAGTCACGATGTGGGAAGACTTGCATAACGCCGCCCAAATGTTCACGCAAAGAAAGAAGACGTAACTTTTATTCTTCTTATTATTATCAATGTTGAAAACATAAGTTGTGCTGCTTAATAGTTTTAGGAAAACCATGATACATTTTTTCAGAATTCTTTGATGAAAAACAGCATGCATTTGAAAGAGAAATCTTAACATTAATCTTAACATTATTGTCATTAATTACAATAATATTAATGTCTTTACTGTTTAAAATGTATTATTGTGCTGCTTAATAGTTTTAGGAAAACCATGATAAATTATTTCAGAATTCTTTGATGAAAAACAGCATGCATTTGAAAGAGAAATCTTAACATTAATCTTAACATTATTGTCATTAATTACAATAATATTAATGTCTTTACTGTTTAAAATGTATTATTTATTTTAACTTGATTGTACGTGTATATTATTCTAGGATAAAAGGCAACTATTGAATCTTCAACATGAAAGATGCCAAAACCTGCTGTTGGTCTTTTGTCAAGACTAGGGACTCTTAAAGACTCAAGCTTTTGCTTCCTCTATGAGGAACAGCAAACCACAATATCAAAGTAGGGATGGTTTTTCCACCTAAATTTCCAGTTTCAGAAAACACTTATTACCAGGCCAGTTTAGCAAGTCTGACAAGGGGTCAGGTTCAGAGATGACAAAACTACTGCTAAAACATGGTAATGTCTGTTCTTCTGATTTACATGAATTCTGAATTCAGAACACTGAATGAGTTATTCTCTAATAGTCTGCTTCTTAGATGTTATTGGTAAACACATTACTTTTGAAGATGAATATCTCAGAAAATGGAATGAGGTAATAATGTTTATACCAAATAAAAACATTTTGCAACATTTAAAAAAAATGCACAGTTTTTATATTAAAGGGGTCATATGATGCGATTTCAATTTTTCCTTTCTCTTTGAAGTGTTACAAGCTCTTGGAGCATAAAGAAGATCTGTAAAGTTGCAAAGACTAAAGTCTCAAATCCAAAGAGATATTCTTTATAAAAGTTAAGTCAACCACGCCTACCTAAAACGGCTCGTTCTAACACGCCCCACATGTCTACGTCACTCGCAGGCGGCTATGGTAAGGGGCGTGACATTTCCCGACCAGGCGCCGAGTGGTGCCAATCACAACACACACTGGCCTTGCTAACCAATCACAGCACATTTCGTATTTCAGAAGGCGGGCCTTCATTTGATACAGGAACTATTCGAGCCATTCATGCCAGACTGGGGAGAGAGGTGTTGTAATAATGTAAAATATGTGAAAAATAATGTGTTTTTCGAACAACCTAGTATGAGAGCCTGTTCTAGTACACCCCCAAAACAAAATCAAGACTTTGTAAAAGAGCATAATAGGACCCCTTTAAAGTATTATTTCAAACATCACAGATTTCTTATGAAGTTCAATGATAAAATACTTACAGATACTACAGTAAAGACAGTATTGACGACTCCAGCTCCAATGGTGGCATAAATGGGCTGATTCACTCCAGCTGACTCAAAAATACCAGTTGAGTAATAAAAAACCTTTGAGAAACACAAAGAAAAGTCCAAATGATTAACTAAAGAATGTAAAGTGATAGTAAAACAAGAGCACTAGTGTATATTAAACATTTGACAGTCTGACCAAATAATGAGCTATAAAGTGGAAGTTAAAAATCATGGCTGATATCAGAAATCATTTGTCACATTCAAAATGTAAGGTCAAGTCCGGCACATTGCATTTCAGGATACTGCATTTTGGAACATAATGAAAGTTTCGCATTCCAAGTATAGTAAGTCATCCAAATATTTACTGCATATATAAAGTATGCATATTATAAACAATATACATACTGTTTCACATTCAAAATAGTAGGTAGTATGCCGTAACAAGCACAGTGCATGATGGGTAATGTATGTCACTCACAGCGTTGATGCCAGAGAGCTGCTGAGACAGCTGCAGCATGACAGCGATGAGCAGAGGCTGGCGGTAAGCAGCGGTGCGGAAGAGCTCTGGGATGGTCACCTTCTTCTCCATGGCCATCTTCGCACTCTCCTCCTTCATCTCCTGCATGTCCTTCCCCACATCCTCGTAACCACGGAGACGCACCAGCGCTGAGGGACAAAATAATGGAGGTTTGGTGACTTGCCGTAGAAATCTAATAAAAAGACAACTAAATTTTGGCGTGGGTAAAATTTTTGAATGTTTATTAAAGAAGTCTCGTGCTCACCAAGGCTGCATTTCTTTAACCAAAAACACAGTACAGCAGTAAATATATATATATATATATATATACTGTATATAATTTAAAATAACAGTTTTCTATTTGAATATATTTTAAAATGTAATTTATTCCGGTGATGGAAAAGCTGCATTTTCCGGTCTTCAGTGTCACTTGATCCTTCAGAAATCATTCTAATATGCTAATCTGGTGCTCAAGAAACAGTTCTTATTATTATCAATGTTGAAAACATAAGTTGTGCTGCTTAATAGTTTTAGGAAAACCATGATACATTTTTTCAGAATTCTTTGATGAAAAACAGCATGCATTTGAAAGAGAAATCTTAACATTAATCTTAACATTATTGTCATTAATTACAATAATATTAATGTCTTTACTGTTTAAAATGTATTATTTATTTTAACTTGATTGTACGTGTATATTATTCTAGGATAAAAGGCAACTATTGAATCTTCAACATGAAAGATGCCAAAACCTGCTGTTGGTCTTTTGTCAAGACTAGGGACTCTTAAAGACTCAAGCTTTTGCTTCCTCTATGAGGAACAGCAAACCACAATATCAAAGTAGGGATGGTTTTTCCACCTAAATTTCCAGTTTCAGAAAACACTTATTACCAGGCCAGTTTAGCAAGTCTGACAAGGGGTCAGGTTCAGAGATGACAAAACTACTGCTAAAACATGGTAATGTCTGTTCTTCTGATTTACATGAATTCTGAATTCAGAACACTGAATGAGTTATTCTCTAATAGTCTGCTTCTTAGATGTTATTGGTAAACACATTACTTTTGAAGATGAATATCTCAGAAAATGGAATGAGGTAATAATGTTTATACCAAATAAAAACATTTTGCAACATTTAAAAAAAATGCACAGTTTTTATATTAAAGGGGTCATATGATGCGATTTCAATTTTTCCTTTCTCTTTGAAGTGTTACAAGCTCTTGGAGCATAAAGAAGATCTGTAAAGTTGCAAAGACTAAAGTCTCAAATCCAAAGAGATATTCTTTATAAAAGTTAAGTCAACCACGCCTACCTAAAACGGCTCGTTCTAACACGCCCCACATGTCTACGTCAC